AATAACACATGCAGACACAGGAGCAAGACACAACAAAAGCACAACACACACATGATAGTGAAGGAGTGCTCCAACAGAGGAGAATGGGCGTGACTGGCGTAGTGAGGTGCGACGTAGCGATGTGGAATCCTGAACAACTTTAATATTTTTAACGTTCGACATTTGTCAATATATATGATAGATATATATTTTAGTTATTTTAATGTGAGGACAAGGCATGCAATGAACTAGTTTGGCGTGGATGAGTAAGCACCTGAAGATGGCATTATTATGCTGAAACATGTAGTGCGAGTGAGAGAAGGAGATAGATGAGTGTATGCACTGCAAGACGGTTTAAATAAATCATGGACTTAAATCAGTGCAACAGGACGCTAAAATATAACATGACTTAATGTTTCTTGAAGGATGAAGAACAGCAGTTTCGGGTGCCCATTTGCAGTCAGTGTGGAGGAATTCTGAAACCAGATATAGTTTTCTTTGGTGATAATGTCCCTCAGCAGAGGGTTGAAGCAGTGAAGCACGAAGTGGAAAACTGTGATTCATTGCTGGTGCTTGGTTCTTCATTAACAGTGTTTTCTAGCTACAGAATCATACTCCAGGTGTCAGAACATAAGAAACAAATAGCCATTGTTAACATTGGACCAACAAGAGGTGACAAATATGCTCATATCAAAGTTGATGCTAAATGTGGAGATATAATTCCTAAGTTGCATGTACATTATTTAGAACACTGTCAAGATTAGTACTAAATATATACAAATGACATCTGTGAAATTATGAAGACATCAGTAATTTCTTTTAAATAGGAATTTTAATTATTCTTCAGATTAAATGTAACTTCAGAAAGGAGATGATGTAAGAAACCCAGGTATAAATAGTAGGACAGTATTGAAAATGATCCTAGAGAAACATGGTATAAAGATGCGAACTAGATTGAAATAGATCAGAAATAGTTAAAACTGTTTGGTTTTGGGGTTTTGTGAGTTCTGTGACAAGCCTTGAAGTTCAGAGATTTATTGATTGGTTGAATTATTCTCAACTTGTCAAATTAGATATTCTATAACATTTGTTAGGGAATTAGTTACTTATGCTTGTTAATATGGGCATATTTTCTCTATCTGTTTATAAGCAGAAAGCAAGGCTATATCTTTGGTCCGCTTATTTAATTTGAGATAGATTTTAGTGTATTGTGGATAAGGAATCCTTTGAGGTTAGTTTTTTATTAAGACAGTTTGCATTAATTGCCACTTTCTAGATGTGAGATATTTCTTGTAATTTATTTTGTATATACAACTTTGAAAGAAGGCATACATACTTCCAGGGAAAGGCCTATGAAGTAATGGAGAAAATATGAACTTCTCTGTTCCGTCTTCTCAGGGAAGAGCTAAGTTAACTTGAAGAAAGCAGTCTTCTGGGATGTGGCGCTGTGTAGAAACTGTGTTAACCGACGCCGGTTAACACAATTTCTACACAGCACCACATCCCAGAAGACGGCTTTCTTCATAGTCACTGCTGTGAAAACCTCAAATCTTACTAAGTTAACTTGTTTCAAGAACAATGATTTTGTTCTGACACCACTGTGTTAAAAGGACACAGTCTTCATGAGAATTTGTGATCTGCTTCTGATAAAAGATAATTAAAATATGATAACAGTTGTTAAAGCATTTATTTGGAGATTCCAAAAAAAAAAAATAGAAAGCTCCTATGATGATTTTAAGTGCTGTAGTAGTAGTGGTTTCATTCTTCTGTAGGGTTAGGAAGAGAGATTTTTTGTTAATACTGCAATTAACATAAGTCACTGCCTTAAAATAACAGTTGCTTCACTGAATTTTGTCCATTTGACATTTGAAATGGAAAGAAACCACCCATATACTTACCAGAAAGTTCAGAATTACATCATTGCAGAATTAATAATGCAAAATAGAATATAAGATCTACAGTGTTACCTTGTATATTACTAAATGAACACAGTGGATATAATAGTTACTTATTGTATTTTAACATGCCCTTTATAAGCAGAATGAAATTTTCTTGGCATTGACTTTATTGTCCATGAAGAGGGAGTTTCAAATTGATTTTGTGACTAGATTTTAACTCAGGATAATGGTACTGAAAAGTGCAATGTAAAAGTGTTACACATACTTTCTCATGTGTGAATTTTGGCCACTAGGGGCATACTGTTATTTTCCTGCAATTCCAACATATGCAGTTTTATTTAAGGACGCACTTTCCATAAACTACTGAAATTTAATCAAAATCATTACTCATTTTTTTTTAGAAAGTATCAGTTTTGTTTTCTGGGGTATCCCCTGAAGGCTACTGTTCTTTGGAGCTGGAATGTTTATAGTCTCTGGGCACCTGCCTGTGATGGATAAACTCTTGAATATGAACAAAGTTTAATTTAAATAAATTAACTGGTTTATGAAATACTAGGTGGAACTTGAACTTCATAGTCATCTACGTTAGATATAAAAATATCTCCATTTTAGTTCGACAGTGATTATTTTAAAACATGTTGATGACCTGAACTGTCAGTGAAGAGGAGGAGGAAGTTAGGAAACAACTGTGGCATATTTAGTTATCTCAGAAACAACAGGACGTAATGAAAAAGTGTATTTGGCATAAAATGAGTGTTTCATTTCTGTCTATAACTTTTATTTGAAATATTTACAGAGTTCTGCTCAAGATGCACATAGAAACTCATATAGGTCTTCATGTAAATGTGTGTTATTGTTGTCCAGTTTTAACTAGCATTGCAGTACATAGACATATATTTCACACAGATCTATTTAGGTTCTCTATTCATTACATGGGGCAGGCAGACAAACACAGCCTTTGTTGCATGATTAAATATTTTCTAGATTATATTTCTTTCTTTGCAATTACTGGATGTACCCCTAGTTGTATGCTGTCCCCTTCAGAGTAATTCTCTGCAACTTGATGCAATGAGTCCAGCAATTGCAGCACTGTAGAAAGCATTTTCAGAAATCCTGTGTTTGAGCTTCACCAGTACAACCTGATTGTTTGTGAACCATGATGTTACCACATCTCCCATTCAGTTGCATCGTCATGGAAAAGAAAGTGTCCAGCTCAAAATGTGGGTCTCTGTGAATTTTTTCATGAATGATTGTGTGTACACACACAACATGATCTTGCTTTTGCTCATCAGTCACCAGGAAGGCATAGATTTTGCAGCAATCTAGTGGATGATCCAATCTCATGTAAAAATATTATGGCATTATCTGAGTGATATTCCTGCCTTACTTGCCATGTTACAGATAGCAACGTTTCTCTTTTTAATGAAAAACTTCCTTGATTGACACCACATTTTTATCCATTTTGCTGGCAGGTGGACATCCGTTAAGTGATGTCACTACACTTATGAACGTGTAAAATGAATCAGATGTTTGAGTTGCTAAGACTGTTGCAGCTGCATAATGATTATTATTAGATGTGTGAGATGTTCAACATTGAAGGCTTCAGATGTAAGGTTACTCTGTTGTTGGATTTCAGGTGTCTGCACGAGTGTAGGCAGAGATTAAGAGGAACTCCTCAGTGAAATAAATTCAAGGTAATTTTTATGGTTTGGTGCTGTTTCAGTCGCTATGAAACCTTGCATATCTAATAAATGTTTCAAACTAATGTTAGGTAAGAATACTGAAATTCTGAAACCATACACTAGAGTTGGCTCTCAGTTTGCTTTGGCTAGTGCAAATCTGTTTATTAAGACTGAATTTAAAAAAATGTTATACAGTCTTTATACAACTTGTTCTTCCTCAAGTATCTTATCATAATGCTTAATTCACCCCATGATATAGGTAAGGAAGATCTTTCATTATCCAAACTCTTCCACTTACAGAGAGTGTGAAGCCAGAGCACTGTTGTTTCTTTGTCCTCTAGCCACTGAATTCCCCAAAATAAATTTGTAGCCAAACTAAATGAGAAATGCAGTCGTTTCAACTGTCTGCAAAATTCAGGTTCTGACATGTCACCAGAACACAGTGGTATGTTGGACAGTGTCCACTCAATATTCAGATGAATAATATATCTGAGCCAGTATTGGTTACAACTTCTTTCAAACAAAGCAAAATTATATTTAATGAAACAGCATTCCTGAAAAATACCATTTATTGGCATGTAACGAATATAGCTTGGGGAAGAGGAAATTTGTAATTGTTACCACATAAAACTATTCTTAATCCAGTATTTAAATCAAATACATATATATCAGACTGAAGGACCTGACGACACACACACACACGATTTTCATAAATGTAACAAAGTTGATCAGTTCTTTATGATGTTTGATGATAATGTAAATGTGACTATTTTATTCCTTGAAAGCCTAGAACACTATATGAAGACAACATGAAAAATACAACACTATTTCATACATGTCTTGTATGTATGAAAACAAAACACCTCTTATTTTGTCCAACTTCAGTTTATATTCTGTACTCAACATATGCACACTCACTTGCAAACTTACTACATGAAGAATATGGACTATACGGAATTGCAGGTTACATGTCTTTTCATTTGCAACACCACATTATATCCATACATACAAAAATGAAATATGAAGTTGCATGAAATGAATATAAACAATGCAAACAGTAATAGGAATAATAATTCTCATCTGTAAAATTGTCAGTAACTTAACACATAACCATGAAAGTCTGATTTCACTACAGCTGCAGTGCTCACATACCAAAAAATAAAAATCAGTTGTGGCAAACTTCTTGTAGCATTTACAGTTTCTTTGTACAGTTGTCCTGGCACTCCCATGAGATCCTCAAAGAAAATAATCTGCCTGGGGCGTTTTTGAGGGAATTCCCCTGCTCTCTTGAGGTGCTGCTTCAAAGATTGTGAAATCTCTCTGTAGATGTTCGTTTAATTCCAAAATAGCTGCTACATTGCCACATCTAGGAACAAATTGAAATGGCTCAGTAATATCAATTACACCTCCACCATAGCCCTGCAAGTTGTGAAAGGTTAAGAAAAGGGAACCGGGTGCCTGGTTGTACAACTGGGCCACCCTGTCACTATAGGTTGGGGGTTAGATGCAAGGCTGACAACCTTGCTCTGTAATTGTTTTGAAATCCAAAGAAGTGAAAACTGGATAAAATCTGGGAGAATCTTCTAAGGGAGGGTATGGTTGAATGCATTACTTGTTGGTTAAACTATCTTTGACAGCTGAGTACATTTACAGTCCCTCGTCCAAAGTTGCACCTGTGTAAGGGGCCAACATTTTCACATAAAGTGACAGAACCCTAAAAATTGGAAATGTTAACACTGTTCAAAATAATAAAGATATTTTAGACTCTGGCACTACTCGGAGATGAGGCGTTAGCCTTGTGCTCCAGCTGTTTCACTCCTGGGAGAAGATCCCCCTCCCCATACCTTCCAGAAAAAAGAGGTTTAATTGGCTCTAGAACATCTCCCCCTGCTGCAAGTTGAATATTGAACACCTAGCTTGTAGCTAGTCACTGAGATATCTCAGCTCACAATACTATCATATAAATGAGAATAAATCACATCGGTTTTGAAACAGACTACTTCATTAGCCTGCCTACTATTATGCCATTTGGAATCTTCAGTGGTCTTCCTAAACTTCTTTCCTCATTAGGCATGTTTTGTTATGTTGTTTTCCATTCTTTTTTTACATGTTTTATCCAATTCAACAAATTTCTGTGAATCTGACTGGTTAAATTTTTAATTCTTCTAAAATATCTTGTTTATGATATAACATCGAGTTCTCCTCTTCAGTTTCATAAAGCAGACTTAAATGTTGCAAAAGAAATTCAGCACCTGATGTGTCAATGAAATACAGTGAAATTCCTACATAAAGTGCCTAGAAATAAGGTCTTCCCTCATTTAATGTTCAACTCAAGTTGACAGTCTAAGTTAAAATGCCTTAACATTTTCCTCAATTTTGTGTTCAAATGCTCTGGTCTTTAAAGACACTCCCAGTGGGAGTTTCACAGCATATTTAAATGCTTCATGTTACAATACATGTAATGAGCCTAATTTTCTTTCTGTTAGATGTTCCAAAGTGTACAAAAATTACCTGTAGCAGTAGTTAGGTGCTGACCAAACTGTTAGTACAGTCTCATTAAAATGCCATTTGTAACCTTCCATTACAAGTTGGTGAGCTCTGCAGATCATGTCAATGTCATTCGCAGCATTGAACTGTGCCACTACATCTGAGCCAAACAAGTATCCTGCACCTCGCGGACTCACACCCCAACCTTGAGTATCTGCACAAACCAAACACATGACCAGTAAAATCAATATGTAACAAACAGGAATGTGAGAGGATGACTTTTTCAGTTTGATACAGAAATTTGTAATAATCTTCATAATTGAGATTATTTCTTGTACTTTACCTGTTTTTTTTCCTCAGTGTAATTACACTAGCTACTTTTTACAGCACTAAAATGTGTTACTTTTACCATCCTGATGTTAGGTGCTGATGTATACAGAAAGAGGCATGCTATGTAAGGAGAAAGAGAGATTATCTTGTTGCCAAGTTGAATCGTATTAGTGCTGCCAACCATTATGATTCTAATTAATCAGGCAGTTTGCATGTTACTATGCAAAAAGATCAAAATATTTCTTATTTCGAGACTCTCACATGCCTAATAAAAATGCACACTCTACTGTAAAAATTAGGAATGGGACATTTACATGTACAAAGACATGCAAGTATTCAGGAATATATTCTGATATGTTCCCATTCTGGTTCCATGATTAAGGATATAAATTTACATCATTACCTTCAGGATCTGACCACAACAAGTCACACATTGGACCATCATGAGGAACTTCTTGTTTTCTGTCTATTGTACGAATCTGGTCAAGCGTTTGTATTGAAGGTGACAAGCCACCATGAACACAGAAAATCTGAAAATAATTACCCAAGTTTAACTGCTTTGTGGCATATCTCTGTGAAGACTCAAGTTTTAATTTTTCATAGAGAGATACAGTACAACTACCTGAATCAGTGTTCTGTAATACTACAAGCCAAGGCTTCTAATGAAACCTGACATGCTCTCAGCAAGAACATTCTACTGGTTCAGTCTCCACTCAAATTACAGAGTACATCTCAATATTCATGATTACATATCAACTGGGCATATGTTGTACATAGATTTTGAGGAAACAGTGTGTCACAACATTTTCATTCTGTGTTGATTTCATTTCAGATAATTTACAGTGGTTGCAGATTTCATTTCAATTACCTTCATAAGTGTTTTATTATAGGTAACCAAATCTTATTCTTGGATGTCTGGGAAAGCAAGAATCTTGACACATTCTTTTCTTCTTCAATCTATTTGGGCAAATACTTTGATAATACACCAAAAGGTTTATACCAAATTACTGTCCAAGTCACTATTCATCTTCTTGCAATTTCTGCAGCAACTGATTGAGCATTTGAAAAACTCTAGTCTGTATAATCAGGCTCACAGACAAGTCCTGAAAGGTCTGAACTTCGGTTTTCCTGAATATAAACAAGTGCCAACCACTAATCTATGTTTGATCCTTCTAAACATGAAGTGAAGAATATTTACACTACATTATCACATGGAAATGCTGATGCTTCTGGAGATGGGACAAAGAAGATGATAAATTAAACAAGGTTTTCATATGGACATATTTTGCATATTTTTCTTACCTTTCCATCAATTATGGCAGACAAACTAAGGTAATCAAAAATCTCTGTACAGTAACGCCACACTGTGATACTTCCATATTTCCTAAGGCATTCATCATAAAACCCATACACTTGGGTGATTTGTCGGGATTCATGATTACCGCGTATGAGTGTAATACGATCTGGATACCTCACCTGTAATTAAACATGTTTAGTACTAATACATTAATGTTTTAAGTAAGCTTGAGAAACTGCATAATTTAAGATTAATTTAGGATGCCACTTTTTCGTTATATATTCAAAGCAAATTCTTTCTTCTGATATTCACCAGGAAAAATAACTGCCTGCTCTTTGGAATTAACATTTTTAAAAAGTCTTCTATTAATATGTAAAATTATTTACAAGTTCGTGAAAGGTATAGTTAATGTTTTGAAAAATTTGCCATTTCATGACTCATACAAAAAGATTTCTGAACCATTGGAGTCCTTAGTTCTTCAGTTATATAACAAGTGCATCAAACATATTCAACCTTACCTTCAATGCTAGTAGCAGGAGGAAAGTTTCAACACTGTAGAATCCTCTATCTACAAAGTCTCCCATAAACAGATAATTCGTTTCGGGAACATCACCCCCTACTTTGAACAATTCCTTCAAGTCATAAAACTGCCCATGGATATCACCACATACCTAGTAATTAGAAGTAAGAGCACATTATATATTTCACAAAATATAAACACTGAAATTTATGTTTTGGCAGTTGATTCCTTGATATGCTAACAGTTGTGAGCTACTTTAAACCCATAAGCAATAAGCTACTTAGTTGTTAAGTTACTAAGTAAAGGTATCCCTGTAACAGGCCTTGGAGGCCCATAGGGTTTGTTAAGTTACTTCATAACTAAAATTTCATGATTCACTGCTCTGATTACAGCCATGAATTACCTGTGCACTTTAACTGACTAATCTAACAATGAATTGCTTATTCAGTTATCTCACAACCATGTATCAACTAGCAAGATTTGTAGTGGCAGAAGAGGTATGTTATGATGACTGCAATACATGCTATGATTGAATATGGAAGGACATTGGAAAACATGACAGAGCTTAATCTCATATACCATCCTGACAACTGTCTGGAGGAACTGAAGAAAAGCATGAATTTCAGCAGCGCCACTGCAACTGACCATTGCATTTTAAGGTCAGTCAGCACTTCCACATATACTTGCTACAAATTACCATGGCTCATGCTGCTTTATAATAAAAAAAATATTAATTGTAATGCAGAGTTGCCAAATTATTCCAAACATGCATTTGTAACACTTTGAATTTGAAACAAATGTCATGCAACTGTTAGCCAATAATTTCGGGTAATAAAATATACGAGCTTCACTACTTTGCGTATCCCATTAATACAGCTCAGTTCCAGTAACCTGCACTTCAAATTACCAAACCAGGCTCAAACATGCATGAGTTTACACTTACAGTAACAGGCGAGTCAACTCTCTGAACGTTGCTCTCTTCTACTAGTATCTCTCGAGCTTTGGCACATAACGCTTTCACTTCCGATTCTTTAATAATCTCACATTTCTTGAGCTGCTCGATTTGACGGTCGAGATCACTTGATTCAGACATTTTGAAGGAACTGTATACACCTACAAATATGATCAAATTAAAGCTCTTTAAATCTAGCAATCATAGCATTGAACATGAAATTACCACAACTACATATAGTTACACATGCTTTTCCATTTACACGCCAATTACCTCTTTTTCAGATTAGACGTATAGTTCTACCACTTTTACGTACAGAACAGTAGAAAAGACTTGGTACACCATTACTTTCCCGAGAGTCTTCACACCGTACTGTTATTGGTTACTTCATGTGAGCGCGTTTATGGCATTAGCCAATGGCAGTTCTGAATTAAACCAAAACCTTCTGTACAAGTTAGTGCAGACGTTTTCCATTAAATACGATTGCTCTACCCAGGGCGGCCTGAGGAAAGTGATAGTTATTTGTTTCCCAGTTAAATATTATATAAAACACAATATTGAAACTATTTAATGTCAGGTTTTGCTATCACTTTTATACATCGGAAACCTTTAGAGCTATCCTGTATTAATATAACGTTAGAAACAAATCGTGTGTTTAGATTTGCGAAGAAGTGTTCGATCGATTGGGCCCCGGCAAAGCATCATGGGAAAGCATCACAGCGATAGCAAGTAGAAGAGATCTGTCAGAGCACTTAGTTTTGGTATTTGTAGATGATGTGTTGATATTTTTTAAAAGTTGTGGTGTTTAGTGGTCTTGTAGTTATTGTGTGTGAATACCGGTCTAGATTACATCAGCAATGGGAAACATATACACTGTGGGACCAAATGAGGCGCTCATAGTATCAGGTAGGCGTAACTTCACGTTTGTTTTCGCAGTACGAGAGTTGACGGAATGTTTACGAATTTTGGTTTATAAATTATTGAATTGTTTTTTGGAAATAATGAAGTTATGTATGCTACGCGTGATATTTGTGGATGTTATTTATTATACAGTTTAATTTTGAATTGTGATTTGTTGGTTGGCAGTTTTTATTTATATTTAGTCGAACAGGACACATCAGGTCCCAGTATAGGCAGATGTAAATCTATTGGGAGATAACACAAATACCATAAATAAAAGCAGAATCTATAATTGACGCTAATAAGGAGTTTGGTCTAGAAGTAAGTGCGGAGTAAAATAAGTGTGTTGATGTCTTGTCACCAACATGCAGGGCAGAATCATAGCATGGAGATAACTAATAGATCTTCACAAAATGTGGTAGAATTACAATATTTTGGAACTACAGTAATAAGCAAACTGTGATTCGTGAGGAAATTAAGAGCAGATTCAATTCGTGTAATGCTTACTACCATTCAGTTAAGAACCTTCTGTTTAAACAATAAAAATTAAAATACACAAAGCTGTAGTTTGGCCTGTAGTTTTGTATGGGTGTCAGAGTTGATCACTGACATTAAGGGAAGAACATATATTGATGGTATTTGAGAACAGGATGCTGAAGAGAATATGTGGACTGTAGAAGGATGAAAGAATAGGAGGTTGGAGATAATTGAAAAATGAGGAGCTTCCTACTTGTACGCTTTACCTGATGTAATTGGAACTATCAAGTCAAGGAGGATGAGATGGGCAGGACATGTATCACGAATGGGGGGAGGAGGAGAAAACTGCATATAAGGTCTTGGTGGGAAAGCTAGAAGGAAACAGATGATGGGAAGACCCAGATATAGGTGGGAGGATAATATTAAAATGGATCTTACTGAAATAGGATGGTGTGGCATGGACTGTATTCCTCTGGCTTAGAGTGGGACCAGTGAAAGGCATGATAATGAACATACTGGTTCCATAAAATGTTGGAAAATTCTTAAGTAGCTGAGAAGCTGGTGGCTTGACTCAACTCCTTGGAGTTAGTTAATTAGTTTGGTGGTTTCACAGAATTGCTTATATCTGACATCTTAGAAAGTACCTGAGAGAGTGTGAACCACTGCTCAGACTTTTATTAATTATTTTTTGCCATGCCCATGCTGTTCGGAAGGGGAGGCATGAAACATTCTTTATTTTGTGTGTGTGTATGTGCATGTATGTCTGGATCTCTCTCTTGCTTTTGGCGCAGTTGTGACTCGGCCATTTCATGGGAAGAAGTTATTACAAGGAAGTTTGTTTGTGGTTAGTTACATGATTTGTACTCTTCACCAGATATTGTTAGGGTGCTCAGATCAAGAAGGGTAAGATGAGTTGAACATGTAGGTCACATGATAGAGGTGAGAAATGCACCACAAATTTTGGTCAGAAGGGGGAGGAACTACTTGGGAGACCTAGGAATGGATAGAAGGGTAATATTAAAACGGTCCCTAAGGGAATAATGTGGGGGATGCGAATTTTTATGTTTGGTTGAGCGTAAGTATTGGTAGGAAGCTGTAATGAAAACGATACAGAACAAATAGATCCCATAAAAGGCAGAGAATTTTTTGAGTAGCTGAGCGACTGCTTGCTTCTAGAAGACTGTGCTCTATGAAGGTAGTTGTGACTTATGACAATAAATGTTCTAATTATAATCACCATCAAATTGAATCTTCATGTTCTAATTTCAAAAACAGAAACAAAATTTTGTGTCCACAGATCGTGGTTAGGATCAATGTACATTATGTCTTTTTTATGGCCGAAGACAGCTAAGAACCTCTTATCTTTGTATGTGAAGCCCCACACGTCTTCATACTTTCTTGGCTTCAGAGAATGGAGTAACAGGATTTCTGTTATTATACTGCCTGTTTATTTCCAAATGGACATCACATTTCTGACTTAATGTACTAAAGTGAAGCGTCTCATTCTGGTAAAGGTCGCTATTAATTATTTATTCATAGCAATAATTTTAGATTTGGCAATGCTGACATTCATTACATCTTACATTTAGTCATTTTCTGTTGCCTGCCATATTTTTCTGTACCAAAAGAGACATTAATTTACTTCAAAATTCGTAGCAAGTGTTCTTAATTATAAATGTTATTTTAAAATCACCATTACAAGTTATAATAAAAACTCTAGATATAAAAATATTGAGACTAAAAACTCAAAACAGAAAAGAATGGATGGTAATTCTGAGGGAGGCTAAGGCTAAACTAAAAGTGCCATAAAGCAAGAGGAAGAAGAATTACAAGTTATGTTTGTAATTCATGCACTGAACAAAGCAGCTGTATAGAGGATCACATGCTTTCAACCCACAGGAGTGGTTAACAGTGAAGTATCATATCATATGATAATTTTATATCATGCTTCAGTACCTAACATTCTGTGTTTAATTTAGAATTCTCGCAGTCCTCACATGTAGAATATTTTGTATGTACACATATTTTTTCCTTTTAAGGGCTATATTACAATGCTGTTACTAGCTAGACTGTACAGCGTCAAATGGAGTGATGACTGGTGCAATGTAAAGTATTTTTAATGAAGCAGTTGTGGCCTAATCATGGCACTATCCTGGAATTGTTATGGAAGAACTGAGGAAAACCATGAAGCGCCTCAGAGTAGCCAATGTCCCGGTAGAGATACAAACCGAATATGTCCCTAATACACGTACAAATCAAGAATGTTACTACTAGGCCAACCTCTGCATTTTGTATTAATTTAATCGTTACATTTTTTTCATAACAGACAAGTCAGTATCAGAAGTGTAACATATACAGTAAACAGATATACGCTTTATGATAGATGTGTCATGTCAAAACCATTAAAAGAAACAAAAAGAGGAAAGATGCAGTCTAATTGATGTAAACATATTTTCCAAATGCGTTGTTTTAAATACATTTTTGAACTTATTGCTGAGTAAATTTTGAAGTAAAATTATTAATTCAGTCGGAATGTCGACTGGCTACAGGCTGGATGGCGGAGGAGAGATTTAGAGTCCCAGTAGGGGCAGGATTGTTCTCCTCCCTGTTGTCCAGAACGATTCTGGGGCCCACCCGGCGTCCTATCCATTGGGTACCGGGAGCTCTTTCCACGGGGGTAAAGCGACCGAGGGGTGAAGCTGACCACTCATCTTCAACTAGTGCCGAGGCGAAGAAAACGTGGATCTATACATTCACTTCCCCATACGTCCTCATGGCGTAGTGGTTAATTTTTTAAGCCCAGGGACAACTTTACCTTTCTGTTTGTTTGTTTGTTTGTGTTTGTGTGTGTGAAACTAGGTCTTACATCATCATAAAACATAAATCTCCAGCCGCACTAGGGTCGCAGTTACCTCAGTTTTTTTGTTACAGATTTTTCACTACCTTGATTTTACTTGTGCATGCTCTGTTGCTTTACTTGCGCTGTAAGGACAGGAATCGAACAGGTGGGCCAACAGCGTGTACATAATACAGTACACAACTGTCCAACAGGTTTTTTTTTTTGCATTTTTTAAGTTTGTTTGCTGTCTGTAGCATTCTATTAACGGTTTATGATATACATATGTGTATGAAGAAGTCCATTTATGGCCGTAAGTATGTCCAAAGTGAAATTTAGTGTGGAGCAGAATTCCTCAACAACTTTTAGTGAAACTCTCCCGTGACGAATTTTAGAAAGATCTTTCCAACGGTTTAGGCTCTGATGCTGGGGTGCAGACATACAAATAGGCGGACAGACATGATCTCCACATAAGGCCTTTTCTTTATTTCGAAAAGAACCCGTAATAATTTAAGACGTGTTGCTCTGAAAGGCAGCGCATAGACGAAGAATATTTGTCTGAAAGGGAACTTAATGTTTCATATATACTTTTTTGGCCATTTTGGGCGCGTTTTGTAGTACAGCGAGAGCACCTCTCGCTTTCGACTGCACTTTTGTCTCTCTGCAATTAAGAAGTGTTATCATGTGAAACCCGATTTTTATGACATTTGGTGTTTGAACTACGTGCATTACTTTTGCCCAGAAGATGAATGCGACAGGTTCTTCCGAAACTGTACTATCTGTCTACCACACTACAAGGCAACATGTCCGAACAGGTTGTCTCAAGTGGTAACGCTTCTGACTTGTATTTGGGAGGTGCCCGGTTCGAATGTCATCCTGGTCACCGACTTTTCTGATTGGAGATTTTCATTATTTTCCTCACCCCATCCAGGCAAATACCGGGATTATACGTTGAAATACACCACGATCGTTTCCTTTCACATCCTTGCAAATACACTGATGCATCATGCAGTCTATGCTACCGACGGCATTGTTAAATAAACCACAATTGGAATGAAAAGAATTCACTATATGGCGGCTGTTAAGCAGATATTGTATTCATCGAATTATGTGTCAGGCAACAGTTATTGCCATTAATGAGATCATTATATTGTGTTGTTTTCCATCCTTTTGGTGTTATA